TTGCCCAAGCAATACGTGCGATAAACAACTTAAGATGCATATTAATTGTTAATATTTTCTTTTCTCAGAGGTTTACATTTTTGACTGGGATAAGTTTTGCGATTTTTTGCGATTCATTTGGTTAACAGTTTTTAGTAGTCTACATCTTTGTCTAATAAAAAATATATATTTTGGCTTGGCATTCGTTGGCCTTCATATTTTTTTACTATGCAAAACTTAAAAAATTAAATATTCATGGTAATTACCTTATCAGTTCCTGCCAAAAACAAAAAAAAACACGAATTTTCTATAATTTTATGTACCCAACACAACTAATTGACAGATCTAATGTCAGTTATGAAATGTTTAAGGCGACTTTTGCTTTTTACGGCCCTCTAAGCTATAAAAAAATTCGCAAAAATCGTAGTTTTAATTAAAACGATTGCATTAAAAATAGACTTTCTTTTAAAGATCTGACATTGGGCATTTATAAAAAAGTCTTCGTAGAGTATTTTCAAAAAGCAATTATGTTTTTACAAGTTTGAATATGTTTTTAATTAAACAATAGTGGCAAATTATACATTTTCAATAATGACTTATTGCAACCTAGTTTGGGCATAGGGCCCACAGTGCGACCCTATACCAAATTGTATTGAACAACTTTAAGTTGGAACGATTTTTATTTGTCAAAACTAAACATAAATAAATGGTTCTTTTTAATTTGGCTACAAAATCGTTTCTACTTAAAATTTTTCAATAAAATTTAGTATAGGGTCGTTTTGAGGGGTGGTGCCGTGCATAGATTTAAAAAAAAATCTCTAAAAATGAATTGGTCAAAAATGACTAATTTAATAGTTATTAGTGGCTGCTTTTTCACTTGCACCATGGAATACCATGGTATCCCAAAATTTAACAGCCAATTCATATGTAAAATTGTCCCCTGAATCCGAAACCGTCAAAAATTATGAAGGTGGAGAAGTTTTTGAAATATAGTCAATTCCATATTAAATGGAAAATTGATTATATCTCAAAAACTGTTCTACTTTTCGGATTCAATTTTACATAAGAATTGGCTGTTAAATTATGGGATGCCATGGTATTTCATGGTTAACTATGGTACAATTGAAAAAGCAGTCACTAATAACTATTAAATTAGTCATTTTTGACTAATTAATTTTTAGAGAGTGCTTTCTAAAAATATCCTTTCAATAACTGACGTAGTAGGCCTTGTATTTTGTAAAAATATGGCTTTTTTTGCTCCAAAAATATCCGTTTAACAATAAATAAAGATTTTACCGGGGTGAGTCTCAAACAGATGGGTCACATGGTAAAAATTAATAAATTAAAAATCTGATTTTGTATTAATAAGTATAAAATCATAACGAAACAATTAAAGGAGTAAGAAGCAAAAGGGTACAAGTGCATTTTAGCATGAAAATAAGTTTAAATTTTCCATTACGTAAAAATTGTACGAGTTCTGCATGCTGATTAATGCAAACAACAGTATTGAAACAAGTATCTAGATTTTTGTATATATAGCAAAAACTTTAAAAGTTAATAACTTCTCTTTTTTGCTTCTTACCCCTTCAATTATCAAATTAAAATAAGACATGAAACTAAATAAACAGTGTTTGTTTTAATATATTTATACAGGGTGTCACCTAATAAATTGTCATCCGTTGGGGGGATAATTGTACAGGCCAAAACAAGAAAGTTTTAAACTTAAACTTTTAAACTTATTCAAAATCGGTTAGTAGCTACTTTAATGAATGTAGATTATTGCCCACTGTGTATGCATATTTTGCGTCAGTTGTCATAAGTCAGGAACAACCAGTGGTAGCCCAACATTTCTACTTTACTTATAAAAATTTTAATGATTTTTTTCTTATTTTGGGGTGTACTACCATCCCCTTAAAGCATGACAAGTTATTTGGTGACACCCTGTATATTAGTGACATGGAGTTTAATCGAGTTAAGGTCGAAACAACAAAAAATAAAATATATTTAGGTTTTATTTATTTATTTATTACTTATTTTTGCTCAAAATCAGTCCTGGTGTTTGGTCCACAGACCCAGTCATCAGAGTGCTCGCAGAACCGCGCACCTGGTTCCCATTAAAACCCCATCGATTCTCTACGGAGCACGCACAAGTAAAAAAATCCTTGATTAAGATTTCATTGGTAAAGTAATGACGGGATGCGAATTATAGGATTCGTCTCATTGGAAGAATTACTAAGCGCGGTACATCACAAACACAGTGACCTATTATTAAGGCTGCTTATCTACGTGTCGTACGCGTACGACAGTAATTGTGAGGCGAGCGTCTAATGCGAATTAATTACAGGCCACCGCGGCGAGACTCGTTACCGGGAATTTTTCTTACCCTCGTCGCTGTACGTGGAAAAAACGCGAGGTAGGCGGCGAACGGTATTATTATAAAGTTACGAGCAATCGAATTGAATGATTGAGGAATTATGGGATTTAAAAGTTCGTTGCATGTTTTTCTTTCCTTAGCCGCAAACAAAATAAAAAAACTAAATAGGTACTAGGAATTGGACAGTGATCAATAAAAATAAGCAGAGCGAAAAATTAGTATTTTAACTATTATGCAAGATAAATAAATCAGTTTATAACTAAAAAAATATTAACCAAACAATTTGGTTTTGAATTTCATATTTAAATATTAAATATTCACAAAAATTTTTAGAAAACCTAACCCTAAAACCAAAAGAATTTGTCAAGTTGACAGTGTAACAATAAAATTAAGGTCAAATAATTTATACAATACGCTAAAGAAGCATAGGGTTTTCGAAACGCGCTTGCCATTTAGTGGTATTCGATAGCATTGTGTAAATTTAAAAATTGTCAAAAATACATTTAAAGCATACGAACTGCACATTATTTTTAAATAATTAAGTGTTTTTTTCAAACAAGAAAGGAAGGCAGAAGTCTTACTCGACAAATTTTGTTCAATTGCTCACCTAAATCTCGCACGTAATTTGTGTTTCGCGTTGCTAGTAAAAACTAAAAAACTTAATTTCGATTTATTATTTCTTATGTTTTTAAGAAACTCAACGCTTTTATGCTTATATAGTTACGTTAGTGTGTGTATTTTATCTAAGTGATCATCGTGAAATATTGTGTTTTTAATTGTAAATAAAATTTAAGAACTGAATCGTTGCATTTTCATGTTTTGCCAAAGAATCCAATACTGTAAGTATATTTGTTGGTGCAGAATTAACCAATGATAACTTTACCTAATATAATTTATATTTGAGTTTGGACATTTTTAAGAAATCTAACAAAAATAATGGTTGTACAACCATAACCTTAAAATCACCGACAACTGCATTTTAAACGACAAAATATACCTACGAATTCATGGCAACATATATAATACCGGTTCTTGGTATTTTACTGTTGAGTGGAGACTTTATAAATTCAAGTCGTCTATGGACTGAATTGAAATGTTTACAATTTTCCAAAAATCATTACTCAAATGTGTATTGTATCTAATAGGTAAATTTGTATTTACTGTATGCAATTTATTTCTTCATTCGGTTTTCCACTGTCCATTGTGAAAAACATAACCTAGGATTTCCTCTCGAAAAACACACAACAACACAATCGTTCCCCGTTTTTTCTCTCGATATTTTTAACATTTTCCGGCTTTATTCTCAAAAACGTAGGTATTAAGCGTATAGGTAATAATTAATTGAGGTTTACATTTTTTTGCCATTTGAGTATAAATGATTTAACATTTTTGTAAAAAGTTTTTATTTTACAAAAATGATTCTTTTACTATAAAATCTATTTTAAAACTGTCATTAAAACTTGGTTCGAAAAATTACTTTGACCCTTAATTGGTTATCAGCAACACTTAAAACTCATGAATTTTAAGAGGTTTTAAAAAATTTGTCCATTATTTTATTTTTTTGTGAAATAACATAACACTCGTTATCAGCGTTCCGAAACACTAGTCAAAATAAACCTTAAATTCTTTATCAATGACCCAAAAAACCCTATGTACTAATTTTATTAAAAAAAGAATAGTTTTCAGAAACAAATACATTTAAGGTATCCAAACTTGATTTTTATTGTTCAGAAGGTATATAAGATTAAGTAACTTGATTTTCAGGACTGTTGACATGAGTTGGAGGATAATCGGGAATTGGAAGCATTATTAATAACCTTTAATTTCGAAAAGCTTAGGCTAAACCAATTACAATTATGAAAACCCTCGATGAGAGTTCATGTTAACATTACTTTCAGTACAATGTTTGCTACCGTTCAAACGTCGAAATGTAAATACAATCAGCCAAGAAGAATCAATAGCAGGGACATTGAAAGGCCGACAGTGCAGGATGTTTGTGTTGTTGAAAATAGAGAAAAAGCATTTTGACCGAAACAGAACAATGAAATTTGTTTATGAACTTTCTGCTCTAAAAGAGTACTAAAGTTAAACTACATAAATAAAGCCAGGAAAAATAAATACAACGATTGACCGAGGACAGATGATCTTTTGTGCTCAACAACAAAAAATAGTTAATAAATATGTGATATTGGTGAAGTAAATCTTTCTACACAGTGTTAAATTGATGCCCAAATAGGGAGGCCCATCCTGACTTTTACCGACAATATAACCATTTGTACGGTGAAAAATGTTTCATTTTGATTCATTAACAGTTTTAAGTGTTCTCGGGCGATAATCAGGTGATGTGTACAGTTATTGAACCATAAAGCAACATTTTTGCATCCGAAATGTTGGCATTGCTTAAATTTTCCACTTTACTACCCATCAAAAACCCATTAAGGTAACGACCTAACAGTGCTTTATGACTTTTAAGATGGGAATAAGAATATGTATGTATGGCACAATTATTTTACCACTTTAACACTAAAATTGTTGAGAAGTAGCAGTTTTTCGAAAGAAATTAACACCCGGGGGGGACAACGTCGTTATATCTCGATTAATCACTAGGTTTGTAGCTTTATAATCACCATATAATAAAAAAACTTACCTGGTAAGGCATCAGCGTTAGAGCTGAACAACACACACAACCCAGTTTCGTAGTTGACAGATTGACAGGAATCGTTTCCCTGGCAAGTCTCCAGACAATCGGTTAGCATCAAGGTGCCCGGGATGTTGTCGAGAACGTTGCTGGGCGCGGAAAACACGTAGCCTGTTATCAATTCGAAGCCTATCAATTCCGGATCGCAGTCGTCCAATGGGCTTGGAGGTGGCGCAGGGACTTTGTCGGGGGCGTCCACCACCTCGGTGTCGGAGTCGTTGGATTGGGCTCGGGTGTACATGGTGGCCAAAAGTACGAATAGTAAGGCTTGGATCCAGCTCATTTTAATTTTAATTTAAATAACCTGAAACAAAGAAGTTGATGTATGAGTTTGCAATTATTTTATATTGTTTTTCAACTGCCACCCTTAAAACGCCCATTATCCTACATGTTTTTATGGCACTAAGTGACCTTTTAAATAAACATTGACAAGCTGTGGCTTTATGGCGCTTTATTCACGGGCTGAAGTTAGCAACAGGTTTTTAGTCACAGGCTAAAGTTGGCTTTAAGTTCGTTGATAGTTGTCAAATGTCATACAATCGTTAAAATAAAGTGCCTTTCTTGTAAAATAATACTAAATGTAAAAATTATTTTATTATCTCAATACAAAACTATTGACGTCAATATTTGAAAAGATTATATGAACTTTTGTACTGACCTTTTAATTTCGCCGTAGTAGTGCAGTTAACTAAATTTACCTGATAAAGCGTTAAAAATTTTGCGTACAGTGCTCATAAAACATTCTCTTCTCTTTTACTGTGAAAACTGCTTCTATATCGATTTTTAAGGCATACATTTTGATTTACACAGAAAAATTTGTGATTATAACGTCGTTAGATTCCCAAGTGAGATATTCCAACGGGTATTGCAATAAATACAATAGTAAATTTTTGTACCTTTTTCCGTGTAGGAATTTTTAATACTTTGTGATTATAGTAATAAAAAAATCAGGGTAAAATATTTTTTTAACATAATCATATTTAAAGTTATTTTAATATTTTAAAGGATCGGTGATAGTTAAGTTTAATTAAAATAATAACACACATAAAAAAATCTAACATAGTACCAAGAACAGCGCTGTCATTGAATGCATTAAAATTGAAGCAATCTAAATTGTTATTTGCTCAATTAATTACTATTAAACCAAAATAGGGAAACATTTTGCCTAAATGTCAAAGAATTTATTGCGTTAAAAATTAGTATTTAATACAATAACATTCTAACATAAAATGAAATAAATATCAATAGATTTAGGAGCGATAACTTTTGTTGTTAATTTAAAAACAGTAAACGATTATAAACCAAGTGCTAACTACCTATTGGTATTATAGGAACTAACATGTTATTCAGGAATATGGATTACAAGATCCCATTGGTTTAATGGCTCACCCATTTATGCTATGCTAGCGTTTTTTCTGTGCGGGCAATGTTAATGGTGAACATTACTTCATAAATGTTTACTGGGATAGTTACTTTATTATCGTATAGATGTCGCTTCATACAAATATTTAATTTAAATCATTTTAAGGTAATAAAAAAGTATAGTAGGCAACTCGTTTATAAACTTTTCTTTAATTACCTAAATGAAATTTGTTACTAAAATGGCGTTTATTAAACTTGGTACATAATATACAATTATTTGCTTATTAAATTGTAAATATTCCAGGAACTGAATTTCAATTAATTATTTATATTGCAAAGCTATCATATACGTATTTTTGTAATTTTAGGTCATCAGCAAATAATTGTTGTAGATGATTGCACATTACAATTTAGTATATAGTAGCGTGTTTGCACATAATTACGATGCCAATAAAATTTATTTATTTCAACAGCATTATCAAATTTAATTATAAGTGGGAGCTACAACAGCTTCCTTTCGTAAAAAATCTTTGCGTTGAAAAGAAAATTGACATATTATGTGTGTATTATAGAGAGTTAAATTCCATTTATTAAATAATGCCAAACAAAGCCGGTAATTGCAAACTGCACAATGCACATGTCAAATATTGACGTTCATTTAAATGATTGATATTGAGTGACGACTTAATGATCGTATCGCCTGTGAAATTCGAATGCACGCATTGATGCATTATGCTGATGATATTATTTATTATGAAATCAGTACATCTGAATTTGAAGTTACCGGTTAATTTTGTTTGGATGAAAACTACATTGGAAAAATCACGCAGTAAATTATATGATTCGCGCTCGAAAATTCAATTTTATATTCAAATTTAACGTATTAACGCTGTTAAAAATTCATGCTGAGCCGATAGCAGATAATTGTCTTACTGGCCTGGGAAACTTTCAATCTGATGCAATGTTCCGTCACTATATGTTAAATAAATTAGGACATAACTAACTAAAATAGGTTTTGGCTACTTATACTGGGTGTCCCAGAACTCGCGCCACAGAGAAAAAGAAGATGCCAAATTTAAAAATATTTTTTTTCGGGTAATGGCATATTTAAATGAGAGCCAAAAAGAGGCAGCCAATACCGAGAGCTCTCACCTAGGAGCTTTAAAAATTGCTAGGAGACGATAGAACATTGTTGTCTTAAAACTTTTAAAAATCTTTTGTCCGACTGTGTTTACTAACCGTTCAAAAAGGAATGTCATACTTCAGGACGCCAATGTTTTAAAGTAAAAATTACCAACTGATTCTGTACCCCAGAGACAAAATTCCACTCTAAAAAAAAATGAACGTCCTTCATAACCCGCTGAACTGTGAACGGGAAACTCGCGTACAACTCCCCTTATGCTCTTCCCACTATTTGCATCAAAGGCATTGGAAATGGCTTCTTTATTTTTTTCTGTTCTAATACGTTAAGGAGCACCTTCAACGCAGAACAACTTTCCAGTCCAGAGGACAATCGGGAAAGCGCTGGGAGAAAACACGTGATGCCTCCCTAGCATTGCGCCCATACTCCCCATAAATAATCATCATTTCGACATAATTAAAGGAGGAAAACATACTCGGTACTGTATAAACTTAGTACCTATAGGACGAGAGTACAACAGAGTATAACATACGTATACGTATTTTATTTTGCTATTCCCTTACACAAAAAAGTCCCTTTTCAAAAGAAATTGTATTATTTGCATTTATGATCTAAAGTGGTAACTTCGTCTTCATGTCAAGAGGTCATTATTCCCCGCCCATTTTAATTGGACTAAATCATGCCAAATTTTGTCACTGGAAACCTAACTTTAAAGTTCTTTGGTTCATAATTGGTCATAGATACTATAGAGTATTAAAAGTACCTTTTTCTGTAAAAATTATTGAAAAATAATACCAAGAAATGTAATTGTAGATGACCTTCCGAAAACAGTTACATAAATGATGAACTACATCGTATTGTTAGCTCATCAGCATGATTATCGCATATCTTCGCATCCAAGGTCGCACTTTCTTTCCGCCTGTTTTGCCAAGTGCAAGCATGCATGGTCTGTTAACGAACTCGAGGCTTATTTAATTTTTAGTTTTCATTCTAAACGAACGCCACACAGATTAAGAATGTTGGGATCAGATATCTTCGCAATAAAATCTCTGGAGTCATTAATGCTATCAGATGTGCGAGCACATGGGAATCAACCCTATTACCCAGTTTTCAGTTTCATTTATTGCAGGGATTTCGGAACATAAATATGCTTTTATAAGACGTTTACTTCTAATTAAAACATCGCCAGCAAGCGGCGCTTTACCGAAACAAAAAAAACCGCCAGCATTTAAGATATGAGTATCTTAATAATGAAATATTTGTGGAGATACGGAATGCGAGATAAGTCATAAGAGTAAATGAAGCCACAATCACTTTGCTCGTTCGGAACGTTGGGTGGCCTGTTTGGAGGGAAATTTAAATGTTTTATGTGTTCGTAATTATTAATGAGGTTCTGTTAGACAAAGTCATCTCGAATGGAACGCTGGAAATTGATAGATTTACCATTTCCTGGATGCCAGCGAAGAAGAAAGCTGCTTTCGATTTTTATAATGAGCGAAGCGAAGATGCCACTAAATACCTATTTACTCGACTAGTAAGTCGATCAGTCTTCTGAACGCTGAAACATTCTTGGTTATTATTGATGATGAGTTAGGCAGGAAAATGACACTTTTGATACTTCGGTGAATTGGGGAAAGTATTTTTTACGGTTGAGAGAATATTTGTATTGTTTCTTCAAGCTTTATATTAAAACCCACAAGCTTTACCCCAGGGACTGTACCACACTGTGTCCATAAAGCTAAAATGTTGTAAAAGTTTGACCCAACAGAAGTTAGTTCACACGTATTGAAAATGACTTTTTATTATGGAAATATATACATTAACCCTCCAGGACAGTTTATTTTGGCCTTGGTGGTTGCGGTCATGGTCTAGTATGGGCTTAAAAAAATTTGTGTTAAGGATAGTAAGTAGATTAGCAATTAAAAAGCAGTAGTTTTTTAAGAGGTACATTCCTTTTGTATACACAGATTATCTGTAACAGATAAATAAAAAAAATAATTTAGGTTAATATTTAGGTTAACATTTTTGTTTGTTTTGTAGCTTGTATTTGTTCAATTTATTTCGAAGATAGTTGTTATGAGAAGGAAAATTGGATCGAAAACCATACAAATTACATTGCCACAAAAAAGTCTTTAAAAGTGGATACGGTTCCAACTTTACACTTAACAGCTGATCTATTAATAGAGAAATTAATTACTTTAGGACAAAACCAGGAAGCATAATATGATCGTTGAACAAAATTAATCACAATTTTCATTGTGCAGAAAATGTGCCAGGACAAGGAAGCTAATGATCTTCAAGGACAGTCCATAGATAAGTCCATAAGATTGAAACATCCCAAAAGCTATAATTTAATATTTTTCAAAAGTTTAGTTTGTTTTATTCAATGTTGGCTCCATGGTGGCCAATTTAGGGTTTTTATTTGGCAACTAAACCTAAACTGCAATTTATTGTATTTACTTGTCACTTATTATTTCATTCTTTATATTTGCTTTAAAACAGGATATTTTATTTGATTGAAAAACCATATAAAATAATAAATTTGTTAATTCATATTTTCTTGAAATAATAATATTGTAATAGTTTTTCACGTGTGATCTTCAAATTATTCGACAGTTTATTCTAAAAATCGAATAAGTTTATAGAAATTTTGATGATTTTCATAAGAGAATAATATTTAAATTCAATGGCGGGAATGAACAAAGATGGCTATAACTGGGTGGTGCGCAAAGTAAACCAAAATTCGCCCTACTGAAGAACATATATATATATATATATAT